TGGCATCCCTCCCTCCTTCCCCTGGCTCACCTCTGCAAGGGTGAGTCCTTCCTCCTGCTCCAATTTCTCAGCTAGGGCCAGGAGGTCCAGCTGTGGTTCTGAGGAAAGCAATTCTGCCAGGAATCGGGGGTGGATGACTGCCTCCACCTGGAACAGAAGAAAGAGGCTGTGGGCATGCTTGGCAGGGGGCCACCTGGGAGCCAGGGGGACCTGCAGGAAACGTGGAAAAGTGAAGACCCACCCATCCTTCTCCACAAGCTAGGAGGTTTTAACATCACAGTCACTTGCTACACACACACACACACACACACACACACACGTGCAGACACACATTCACATATGTGTACACAGAGAGACAAAACCTGGACACACATACATACGCACACACAAACCCCACACACAAGCACACGCACACACACCAAACACACACGTGCACAAAGACACAAAGGCATATACACATAGACGCACACACAGACACACATGAACATACACACAGGACCACACGCAGACACACACACAGACATCCACACGAGGCACAAATGCACACACATGCCCGTACGCACGCCTGTCTGCGACATCAGGCATACACACACGTACGCACACACAGGATCATGTGCACGCACACACACGCATGTGCAACAAACACAAAACGGCACGTTTACAGACACACAAACACACACGTGCATGCACAGACCCACCACAGACACGGATGCACACAAACCCGCAGTCACACAGGCATACACACGCGTGAGCACACACACACGTGCACACACACAGACACAAACATGTACACACATATGCACGTACACACACGGACACATTCACACAGGCCCACAGAGAGTCACACAACAGACACACACACACCAGCGCACACACTCGCACACACACAGCTCAGGAACAAGAAACAGAGCTTACTGCCAAAGGCCTGGGCCCAGCCCCGATCGGGGTGCTGGAGTGCCCTCCCTGGACTCTTGTAGACACCAGGCCAGCTCACCTTGGTGATGAAGTCTTCCTGGGAACACAGCTTGTCAATGTAGCTCAGGAGACCCGGGTCCGGGTAGGTCGTGGCCTCATCCTGCTGTGGCTCCTTTCCGTCCTCTCCCCATTCACCTGCTGGCCCCCCCGGGGCTGAGTGGCCAGGCCCCAGCAGCCCCTCCATGATGTCCACGTACTCTCTCACGGCCTCAGGGGGGATCTCCTTGGGCGCCTTGTTCTCCAGGGGCCGTGGGGGTCTGTGTGGCTGCAGGCGGGAGGGCTGGGCCCTGGAACCCGCCTTCCTGCGAATGCACGCTGGGGCAGAGCGGGAGGAGGGAGGGGGCGTGAGGGGCTCCAGCAGTGCATCGGGACGGCAGTGTTTGGGGGACGCTGGTGTCAGTGGGGGATGGGTCACGGCCACCCGAGGCCACAGGCACCGTGGGACAGGCAGAGGGAAGAGGAGGAGAGTCTCAGAGCGATATGTGTGAGCAAGTGTGGACCCGCCGATCCTCCAAGGGTCTCCCCACAGCCCACTCTCCCGGCAGACTTTGTGTTGGGTCCCCTAACAGGAGGCGGGAGAGTAGTGAAGAAATTCACCCGGTCAACACCTGTCCTGACAAAGGGCAGCTGAGGCCCCAGGCTCTTGGTGGCCGTTCTGGTCAAAAGACCAATGTCCACTTGAAGGAGAAGACCCATATGGGGACAGTGGCCTTCCCTCGGTCCCCGCTGCCATGGGCCACCAGCTGCCATGGAACATGGGGGCCGTACCTGGCTGTGGGCCCGCTTCCGGGGCTGGGGGCCCCCGTGGCTCAGGCTTCGGCGGAGCTGGAGGAGGCAGGCCCTGGGCCACCTTCAGCCACTGCAACTTCTGAATCTGCATCTCCTCCTCCAGCTCAAACTCCATGAACCTGGGGGTGAGGAGGCCCGGGCCGCACTGAGGAGGGGACCCGGCCCTGGAGCCCGCAAAGCCAGCAGCCGGGTGAGGAACCGGGAGAGGCAGTGCCTTGGAGGGGCGGCCGTGGCCCCGGCCACCAAGGAGGCAGCCGGCTGGCTGTCCAGCACATCCCCTCCACAGCCCCCTCGGAGGGAGTCCCACCCCAGGGGAGGGGGTCTCAGGATCTCCCAGCCCTTCCCAAGACCTTCCCATGGAGGCAGGGCTGGGTCCCGATCAGGGGAGGGTGGAACTCCCAGGGAGGTAGGCGAGGGTGGCCCTCTGTGGTGAGCATCAGCACAGTCAGACCCTGCCCTCGGCCCGGCCCTCACACCCACCAGCCCCGGGCCAGAGACCCCGACTCACTTTCCTGCCATCTCGTAGTAGATGACGCGGTCGAAGTTGCTTCTGCGCTGCCATTCCTGCACGGCCCGCCACACTCCCTCCTCCAGCGTCATAGTGGGCTTCAGGCGGGCCAGGGACCGCAGCACCGGGCTGCAAGCCGTCGGGGTCAGGGGCCGGCTGCAGTCCGTCACCCCCAGCCTGCCCCGCTCCTCTGGAGCCCGCGTCCCCCCCGCCCCCAGCATGACCGCGTGCTGGCAGGTGACTGCCCGCAATGAGCCCAGGCCTCTGCAGGAAGTGCCGTCGCCCCGTGTTCAGGAGGGACCCCAGATGCCACGGCCAGGCCTGCCGGGTCACAGCTCAGCAGGAGGGATCCCACGCCCTCACCCCTTCACCAGCTCTGCCCCCTCCCCTTCTGACTGGAATCCTCCGGGACAACGAGGGTGGGGCCGCACGCGGCCTCCGCTGGGCCCTGCAGGTCCCGAGCCTCCTCTGATGTGCCGGCCCCCGGCCATGAGACGCCCCAGCCTGTGTTCCCAGGAGACAGGATGACAGAGAGCCCGGCACCCAAACCATGGCTCCTCCTCTGACACCGGGACCCTCTCTGCCTGTGAGTGCCCCCCGAATGTCACCGTGATGCCTCTGGAAGGTAAAGGTTGGCTGGACTCCCCGAGGGTTGGGGTTCCGCTGAGGTGGGTGACTGAAAGGTGTCCTGGACCAGAACGTGTCTTCCCAGAGCACGGACCCGGCCCCACACCTTCCTCCCAGCGCCCCTGGAGCACCGCCCCGTGTGCGCACCCCAAGGTCGTCCTGCGTGAGAGCTGCAGGAGAGCGGAGGACACTCACATGAGGAAGCAGGAGAGAGCTTCTGCATCGGGGCTCTGCGGGAGGTGCCTCCGGGCCAGCGACTTGAAGCGCTGCCAGCGCCTGAAGTTCTCGCAAACACTCTTGGGGTTACAGGAGTCCTCGGGCGAGGCCGTGGTCGGGCTCCTGGCCAGGCTGCCCTCCCTGGAAGCTCCGTGAGGCTGTGGCCCGGCGTCCACTGGGGGCACGATGGGGGCCGGCTGGGCAGCCAGGGCCGGGGCTGGGGCTGGAAGGCCTGGGGCCAAGCCTCCCTTGCCAGCCTGGGGGCCCCCAAAGGCCGAGGCAGGCATGCTGGTCTCCAGCACAGAGGCTGCCACGAAGAGGGGTGCGGGACATGAGGCACCCCCACAGAGGGCCCCTGGAGCACTCCAGCTGAGGGGGGCCTGAGTAAGGACAATGGTCTGAGTCTGGGGTGTCTCCGAGGACCCCCGTTCTGACCTGACCTGGACAATGACATTGCGGGTCCCAGTCCCACTGGGGCCAAGGCCAGGCTCTCCTGCGGCCAACGGTGAGTTGGGGAGGGCTGGCAGCACCAGGGGGCCACCGGGAGGGAATGGCGGGGTCAGGAGGGGCGGCGCGTGCTGCCCCCAGAGTGGCCGCCGGGGCGGGGTGGGAGTGGGCGCGGGAAAGGGCCATGACGTGACGGAAAACATGGAGGCTCCGGGGCCCATGGCCACATGGGGTCCCAGCACTGGAGATGCTGTGGACGGAAGGAAAGGACCGATGGAGTCAGAGAATCCGCAGCCGGGAGGGAGGACCCAGGGCCCCCTTAGTCACTGGGGAGCAGAGCAGTTAATCTCATCGCGTGAGGGACATCACAGAAAAGGTGCAGTTGGCAAGTGTCCCCAAGTGATTTCCATGCTCTGGCCTCCAGCAGAGAATTACCGCCCCCGCCCCTCCCACCAAGAGAGCCTGTCTGCCCAGAAGCAGCACCCTGGGCCAGCACGGACTCTGAGAACCTCCCACGGACCCCCGGACACTACCCTCCAGCCTCAGGGGCAGGCTCCCAAGACGTGGGCCTGGCTGGACACCTGCCCTGTGGGAAATGGCCTCAGCAGGCTCCCTGACAGCTGGGGACCCCCTCCAAGTTTCATCCTCGGCACCCGAAGGGCCTCTGTGAACAGACAGTGTCTAAAGCGTTCGGGCCCCTCTCCTGCTAGTCTTCCTGTTCCTGACGCTCCCTATGAATCCCTCCCTTGTCTTCCTGGCCCAACACAACACAACAAGAACACTTGACCTCTATCTCTGCCGTGAAAGCTCCCTCCAAACCCTGACGGAAGCCCATCTCAGATCCATCCACACACACACAGGACACAGGGCCAGGGGCTCTGCCTGCACACAGCAGCTCTGCTCCAGGAGAGGGGTCTGGGACGCAGGTGTGTGTTCCCTGAGTTTCTGTCACTCACAGCCAGCGATGGCTGTAGGACAGTAGCCAAGAGCCATGGGCTGGGGAGCCGCTGTCCCTTGGGACTGTTTGTGGGAGTGCAGACTGCCTGTGGTCCTCCCCCAGCAGCTCCCTCCGTGGAACGTGAAGATGACTAGGAACCAAGCAGGAGGCCAGTGCCGGCAGAACAAGGCGTCTGGAAACAGGTGTCTGCTCATGAAGAACCCATGCAGATCCTAGTCCAGGAGGACAAGGTACACACCTGTGCACCTAACATAAGGACAGGTGTCCTCGGATGTTTAGTAGAAACACAGACGGTCATTGTCCCCTTCCGGGCTCCTCCCCTACCCCTCTTTAAAGAGGACTCAGGCTTCATGGGTGCTCCACAGGATAACCGACCACACTGTACTTCTGTTCCCTGTCCAGGATGCAGGGACGTGGATTCAAGCAGACTCGTCATCTCAAAGGTAAAACCCGGCGCTGAGGTTACGCCAGGAAACAGGACAAGAGGAAGCAGGTGTGAACTGCGTTTCCTCAAGAGGGAGAGTGACCCAGAGCAGCTGAGGAACCCAAGCCCTACCTTGAGGCCACCTGGTGCCCTGTCCCTGCTGAATCCAAGATCAGGACCACCTGGCCTGGGGGCACGTCAGCTCTAGGCTGGAAGGACTGGAAGCCCCGGGCTGGGGTGTCAGACTGACCTCCAGCCCAGGTCTCGGAGAGGACACGCCATCGCACACTTGGCCACAGACGGCCCCACGGAACAACGTTCTGGCTAAGACCCCCTCTCCCCCTGCCCCTGCCTGTGCCACCAGCTTGACACACTCCCACCTCTCCCTGCAAACTGTCCAAGTGATTCTTGGCCTCCAGAGAGAATCAGTGCTCCTGCCACCACCCTTTCTCCGCACACAGGGCATTTCCCCTGCCAGGTCTTGACCCACCTTCAAGGAGCCCTCCTCCCCAGGGTCCTTGCAGGTTTCTGAGGACTCCCAGCCTCCTAGCCCCCAAGGCGAGCTGTCCTTGGGTGTCCAGTGAGCTCCCCTTCCTGTACCAACCCCGCCTAAGTGCCCCTAGCCAGTGTCACGTTTGAATCCCAAGGATTTCAGGAATGGCCAGCACTCTGACACGTCTAACCCAACCTACAGGCTTACCTCCTTCTGAAGCCATCCCCACAGGCAGGGGATGCGGCTGCCTGGCAGCCTCCACAGTGAGAAAAGTCACGTCCAGGACCCACACAGTGAGCTGCTCCAGGAGATGCTCAGGATCCAAGTCAAGGAGGGAAAAGTTTGAATCTAAACAGGGGTAGAATGCAGACTCATGACATTCTTCAGTGGGGGAGGGGCGGAGGGCCACTGACCTGGGTGGGGGTGGGGAGACATTCCATGAGTCAGGCTCTGGCAGGTAGGCCAGAACCCCAAGCTCCTTTCAAATGATATAGGGGCAACATGATTGGGGTGTGCTTTCCAGGCCGTTTATACACTGTTTTCCACGTTCACAGCACCAAGGTGTGACTCGGTGCTCCTTTGGTTCGATTCTGTATCCAGAAACCTAGGTTTGTGTCCTTGACCCACTCTGCTTCCTACCTGGCTCTTGACTTATTCAACAGGGGCTGAACTTTCTGGACAAAACTCAGAACAGACATTCTGATGAACACATGGGTCCTTAAGGCCACATGGAACTGAGGGTTTCAAATCAGCATTGTGTCGGCAGATCCCATGGGTTTGGTTGCACATCAGTCTTCAGCCATGGGTTCTTCTGTGCCCACCGCCCTGCAGTGCTCGAAGCCCTGCTGACTCCAGCAGGACCCGCCTTACTAGGATGCCCTTCGCCGGAAAGCCCCTGTCTCTCAGAGAGAGGACGTGGAGCCTACCCTACAAGACCAGAAATACGATGTTTTGTTCCCTGGTATATTACGCTGTTGTTTGATGTTGATTTTTAACCTCTTTCATTATTTTAGTAGACACTTTCAAAAAACAATTCCTTTGTTTGGTTCAAAATCAAACTGTATATAGTGGAGTATGCAGTGACGCCTCTTCCTCCCACCTCCTACTCCTGGCAACCCAGCCCCTTTCTTACAGGAAACCAGTGTTACCTGTATCGTTCAGATCTTTAGAGAGATGTAATGTGCCGCAAAATTAAGTGTAAGTTATTTCTGTTTTTTGAAAAATGAATGTATATTTCCCTCTGGTTAAAAGTTGATATAGGTTCCAAAATACGTGTGGATATGCACAGTGATTGTCTTTGTTCTGGTAATGTGGCTCCTCTCCTTATTTCTGGGGGCTAGATTCCTAGAAGAAGTGCTACAGTCCTTTACAATTCAAGGGACCCTGTCCAATAGGGTGGCCAGATTTAGCAAATAATAATAATAATAAACACTATATTGAATTAGAATTACAGATAAACAGGGAATCAGCTTTTACAGTAATTATGTCCCATGCAATATTTGAGATATACTTTTAACTCAAATCTTTTTCCCCTTTATCTAATTTTGCATTTAGCTGGGATTTTGTATTTTATCTGGCATCTCTACCAAAAAAGTGTAACATATTCAGTTCCTATTAGTCACTTACATGTGAGAAAGAGAACTTGGATATGGAGACTCAAGGGTGCTATCTTGGCTTCACCACAAAACTCATCTGTGTGCACACACACACACACACACACACACAGTGTCTGTAGGCCCTCTGAATGATTTGGAATTTGGAAGAGCCGTCACATATCACTGAGTGTCTAGGCTCAGTGGGAGTAAGGACAGAAAGAAGGGACAGGAAATCTTCCCCTTTCTTACATTAAAGCGGCATAGAAAGACCGTGCAGCCATGGTTTTTCGAGGTGCTAAAATCACTACTCATGGGTCGCCTGGGTAGCTCAGATGGTTAAACGTCTGCCTTCGGCTCAGGTCATGATCCCAGAGTCCTGGGATCGAGCCCCACATCGCGCTCCTGGCTCAGCAGGGAGTCTGCTTCTCCCTCTCCCTCTGCCTCTCCCACTGCTCATGCTCTCTCTCTATATATATAGCTCTGTCTCAAATGAATAAATAAAATCTTAAAAAAAAAATCACTACTCATGAAATGGATGTGCCCCTTGAGACAAAGCCAGGAATGTATTCATTGCTATCCATTCCTCACTCACAACCAGCTTCCTCTAAGTGCTAGCTGGCCAGTCTGAGCCTGGAAGCCCTGCTCATGGTTTGGTCTCATGACAGACCTTGGTTCTTTGGAATCCAGTCTCACACTGCATGTGGTCCCATGTGCATGGGAATCATGGTAGCACCCCTTTAAAAATCTCCTTGATTCTTATTTTCATGTTGCACATCATTGTCAGTTTATCAGGAACACTATGATATGAAGGAGCGTTGGTGTTCTGTGAGAAGGGAGGACTGTTAGGACGTGGGACAAGGGTGATGAGCGGTGAGAACTTCAGGTTGCCACCAAATGTCTTGGGAGACAAGCCCCATTCCCGCGGTCGTGACAGCAGAGTTCCTGTGACAGCAGGGTGTTGGGGAAGGAAAGGGAGGTTCAGAAGGATGGCTCCACACTGAACATACACTGAACAAAACTCCTGTTTAGGCGCTGAAACGGTTCCTTGCCCCCTGCAAAGGAAAGTTGACTCCAAAGGCCACTGTTGTGTGAAAACGTATCAGGGTCCATATGGAAGGAGAAGGGCATGGGCTTCTCCCCCTCCCCCCATGCTACAGTTGTGTAAGAAAGTCACTTCTCGATTCCTGTCCAATTTCCTCATGATTTTGTGTTCTCACAACTCACACCATGACACGGTCCAGGGAATATTTACATGGAATACTTCTGGAGGGTCCCATTGGCCACCTGAAGGGAGTGCGGCCCTTTGGGACACTTCCCAGGCCCTTCACTCTGTGCAGCCCACACGTGGCCCTCTACACGTACCCCTCTGTCTAGTCTCTCTGGCAGCTCCTCTATGCAGGCTTCCTTGACCTTACCTGGGGACATGAGCTGAGAGCAATTCAAGCAAATCACAGTGAACTTTATTTCAAAATCCCTGTTGGGAATTGAAAAAACAAACAACTTGGAGACATTTCTCAGGCCTTGAGCTTTTATCATGAGAAGCCTGAAATGATTTTCACCCCACAGCTTCCCACTAGAGAGATGCTGAGGCACACTGTTGGACTCAGGCACTCGAGAAAGCAGGTCCCTTCTTGCTTCCTCCCCTTGTTCCATCATTCCACCAAGTATTCACAAGATTCTCACTCATGGCTCAGATGTAGCATCTGAATGAGCCTTCTTGGGGCCACTGATATAAAAATGGCACTGTGGGA